TGAATTTGATATGAGTATGATGGGAGAACTTTCATATTTCCTTGGTTTACAAATTAAACAAACAAATTCTGGTATTTTTATCTCACAAACTAAATACATTGACTCTATGCTTAAAAAATTCGACATGAACTCGTTAAGCTCTAGCCCTACTCCTATGGTTCCAAATCTAAAACTAGACAGAGATGAAAGTGGTACTCCTTTCTGCAAAAAAAAGCTATAGAGGAATGATAGGTTCCTTACTTTATCTCACAGCCAGCCGCCCTGATATACAATTTAGTGTAGGACTATGTGCCAGATTTTAATCCAATCCAAAAGAAAGTCACTTCAAAGCTGTAAAAAAATGTTGAGATATCTCAAAGGGACTGTTGATGTAGGATTATGGTATCCATTAACTAATTCCTTTGAATTAATTGGATATAGTGATTCAGACTTTGGGGGAAGTCTAGTTGATAGGAAAAGTACCTCTGGCACAATACAATTTTTAGGATCTGCACTTGTTTCATGGTTTAGTAAGAAACAAGGTGCAGTTGCACCCTCTACTGCTGAAGCTGAATACATGGCAGCTAGTGGTTGTTGTGCTCAACTCATGTGGATGAAAGCCCAACTTTCAGATTATGGATTTATCCTTAAAAACATTCCTATTTGTTGTGATAACACTAGCACTATATGCATGACAAAAAATCCAGTACAACATTCTAGAACTAAACACATCGAAATCAAATATCATTTCATAAGAGACATTGTTCAGGCTAGAAATGTTTATTTTACAATTTTTGCTTACAGATTCTCAGCTTGCAGGCCTTCTTACCAAATCTCTTCCTAGTGAAAGGTTTTTGCAACTCTACACAGAAATCAGGTTAAAATCTCTTTGTCAGATTTTAAATCTAACAAAATACGATCAAATAGAGTGATTCTGCTCTAGCTTTTTATTTGTCTCGAGCTGTGCACTTCTTTATCTACTTTTCAGATAATGTTTGTTGTTTTTCATAAACTTTCTCAAGCAAGCTCGTCTCCTAATTGTCAATCTTTTCCTCTCTGTCTGCTGAAACTCTTCGGCTTCCTCCACTCCCTTTCTACCATATCCTTTATTTAAACTATACTGTTTCTGCTCTTTCTCCTCACTCATCTCCCACCGTTTCCCTCCTTAACAAAGCAACATGAGTGATTATCTGCCCAGACCATTCTGTTTTGATGGCCTTGTCCACACTTATCCTGGTTACATGTTTCATGAACCAGTGGTAATTAATCACCACCGCCATCTCCAGCTTTTTGAAAATAGAAGCCTTCACCATGTCACACAACTTGATCCCTGCGAGTTTAATGTTTACAAATATGATATCATCTCCCTCATTGAAGAGCTTGGGTGGGAATTCCTCCTTCGACAGCCCTTTCGTCTTGAATGTCCTGGAGCTGTCAAATACTTTTACTCCAACCTTCGCTCAGAAGGCATCCGTTTAAGGAGTTTCACTACTGTTGTGCATGGTCATTTGCTGACCATTCCTGTTGCTGCTTTGGGAGGAATTCTAGGCTTCTCTTCTGAGGGCCTCGACATCATTCACCATACAGAGTTCTGGAAACATGAGTTCAAGCTCTCCACTGAATATGGAAACTTCTCAACTCAACCCACTGGAGGCTCAGATGTCCCCATACATGTTAGCTGGCTACCCCCAAGACTGAGAATCTTCCATTTCTTCCTTACCCGAGTGATCCTTCCTCGTTCTTTTAATCTTGAACGAGTTCTTCCTATGGATCTCTGGATTATCTCCTGTGCCACTGTTGGTCGTAAGTTGGACTTCACTCGGATACTGTTTGGAGCTCTACTTCTAGTTGGAGATGAGCACTATTAAGGGCTTCTCCCTTTTGGCTCTATCATTACTCGTCTTTTGATAAGGCTTGGGATCGATCTCTCTGACTTTCGCAGTGTGTCCTCCACTGTTTACATTAGTGCCCTGAATGTCCTTATGGTCTTGGACCTTCCCACTAACATTCCTCCTCCTCTTCATCCCTCCGCTTCTCTTCTTAGCCCTCACCCCATGGCTGCCTCTCGTGGCAAGATATCTAAGCCTCTCAAAGAATCCAGCAAATCTGACGACCTTGTCTTCACTCTATCTGAAGGAACCTCTTCCTCAGATGATTTTGTTGCATCAGCTCCTTACTAAGAATATTGTGCTTGGTCAGCAGTGTTTTTGTAATGTTGTCCCATATGTGGACTTGCATCGTTTTAAGTATTTGATTTTTCTACTGGTAGTAGACCTTTTGTATTGTTGTTCCTTTTAAGGACGCATATTTTCAGGGGGGGGGGGGAGCTTTCCCTTGACTTCTCTACTGATGTACTTGTTTAATGTGCAATGAAATTTTATGCTGTTTTTCGGTTGCTATTGCTCTTTCCTGTGTCTCTCTCATTTTTGCAGGATCATCAGACTTGTCGAATGAAGGTGGAAATTGTTGACTTGTTCCACGACGTCGTTTGAGCAAGATTCACAAGACGATGTCGTTCTGGCAGAAGCTCTCTACGACAGTGTTCCATTCAAACGCTGCGTACAACACTCGTTATCGTCCTTCCAAGTCTGCTCTTCAAACTGAATTCTCAGATCATCCCCAATCTCCTGTAAAGCTGCTCCTCCCTTTTCTTCCTCGTTCTTCTCCAAAAGTTTCCCCCTCTACAAACTGTTAGGGTGACAATAACGTTGGAAGATCATGATGACGAAGGCATCAACGGTCCTCCAGCCCTTCTCTATTTATACGTCTTCTCAATGTAAAATGAAGTAGTTCTTCGGGCAATTATAGATAGATTTGGGATAGTATAATCTTTTGTATTGGGTCTGTAGTTTTGGGTTTACTTCAGTAGCTCGATTCACTGTGTTGTTTTCGAATCGAGCTTGGGAAGTAGTTTGATTGGTTTTCTTGTAGATCAGGAAGAAATTAGTGTTCGATTTCTTTTTAGGGTTTGCAGTTTTCCTATTGTAATTTCTCCCTTTTTTTTTACTTAAATAAAATCCCTTCTTCCACAAAATCACAAAATGTAATTTGCAAACTAAGAAATGTAGTAGCAAATCTAGTAGCACCAGGTCTCATTATTTCTTTCCAATTCTCCTTTGTCTTCAACCAGAAATAAATTGGACCATGATTGTAAACAAATTTGGAGACCTTAGTAGCTCGATATGCAAGCTTCTTAACATGAGGCATAGATCCAATGTCACTCAAGATCAAGTTAAGGGTATGAGCAACACAAGGAGTCCAATATATATGACCATAATGCTCATGTATCATTGTCCCTACTAATTTATAGTTGGATGCATTATCGGTCACCACATGAACAACATTCTCAGCTCCAACCCAATCAATGACCTCACAGAATAACCATTGAGCATATTGCATTATTCCCACTAACACCAGCTAGATGTTTTTTCATTCTAGTGATTCCTCCGCCTCTAAATTCTTTTTTACAATAGAGACAAGTGAGTACCTCTACTTTTCCATCCCGATGCAAGGAACAATGATCCCAAGTTGGATAACTTTTGCTTCGTACACCTTTGCGGTAACCTTTGAATTACTAGGAGTTGCTCCTTTATCAACCGATCAGACTTCTTCTCCACTAGCCATTGCTGCCAAAACATCCAAATTATAATCAGAATACTAGAATAGAGATACCAATTACCAAGAAGAGTCACCAAACATTATTCATTACCAAACACTTTTCATTGTCGCACAAATGCACAATAGATTTACCAAATTTCATTCCACTCTCCTTACTTAATTGAAAACCAAATTAATGAATTATATGGTGGATGGGAAACTGATTCCGCCTGTGACCGTGTGACTCCAACAAGTGGGAAGCTCGGTGCGGCGGAGAGGGAGGCTCGGCGAGGCGGCAGGCTCGTCCTCTGTCCTTCTCGCAGGTTGCTAGAGGCAGGGGAGGTCGAGCACAGGAGGGAGACTCGGTGCGGCGGGTTTTGGAGCTCACCAGTCGCCGGTCGCTACCCTGTTGAAGAAGAGGAAGGGCAGGCGCCCGACGTCGTTCTCTTCTTCACGAGCTGTCGAGCAGTCAGAGCAGGCGGTCGTCGACTCGCTGGACTGCTAGAGAACTGGAGAAGACAAAGTGCGATCAAGGAGGGGTAGGCTGCGCTGGAGTCTGGAGATCGATCGGCGATCGACGTCGTTCTCTTCTTCACGTCAAGAGCAGGCGGCGTTATGGAGAAAAGGAGGAGTGGCAGGTGAAGTGAAACAATTTTGGATACCGAAGGGCGAAGAATCGATTATGGTTAGTAGTTCACAATTAATCGTTTTTTTTTTCAATTTTGTCGAATGAACGACGACGTTTCTTCAAATGTGCCTACCGCCGGTCTGATTTAAACCGGACGGGATACCGGAAAATGCCGGTTACGCCGTTAATACCGGCCGGCGTAGTAGAACAGTCGCTGGTAGGGTACCGTTTCGCCACTGGTCTGGTTCCCGGTTGAACCGGCCGGTACGATCCGGTTTCCTTTACCATGCTAATTATATCTAAATCAATCCATTTTACTTTGACAATACCAAAATAGGCAATGGGCATTAGAGTCAAAAGCAGCAAAAGCAATAAAAAGGGTCTCTAAATCGTCCTGCCACTTCTTGTTCCTTCCTGCTTCTTTCTTCCTCCTAGCGAACAAAAGCAGCAGGAGCAATAGGGTGGCGGGGGTACAAGGAGCAGCAGCGATAGGAGGAGAAACCTCCTCTTTTAGAGAAAGTCAACGGGATCGGGGTGGTGGGGGCGTTGGCAGGCAGCAATGGGAAGTTAGAAATTAGGGATGGTTTGTTTAGTGTTCGGTTAGAAATTAGGGCTAAAGATAAATGTGCCAATTTAGTATGTTTTAGGGTGATAAAAATTAAATTTTAGGGCGACGAATAGCGATTCAAAGACTAATGGTTGATAATTTTGACCAAGTGTTCACTCCGCCCATCAAATCTACAAGAAAAGCCAGGCCCAGGCCCAGAACCAGCCCAAGCCCACAAACAGAGAGCCACTAAGTAGTGTCCGAGGACAAGGAGCTGTGCTTCTCTTCTCGTTGTTTGATTCTCCTTTCTCCCCTTTGTTGGCTACTTGCAATCCCCGCGCCAACCAACAAGCAGCGGCAGTGCTTCTCGTTCTCTCCTAAACCCTAAACCCTAGCTGACAAGAAGAGGTAGCAACACGAAGAAAAGGTCACTAGGGAGTTCTTGGTCGGACTAGCTTCCTCTATCTGAATACGGTACGAATTTCCCAGTTCAATCTTGAACTTCTCTCCCAAGCTCTTCCGGTATACGTTTTTTTTCCTTGGCTGGGTTCCAGTTTTTCACATGTGTTGTTTAAAGTTTCATTCTTTCTAGGTCTGATGTCTCCTGCTGCACTTAGCAAGAAGAAGGGCTTAAAATCAAGCCTGTCTCCTGCCGCACTTAGCAAGAAGAAGGGCTTAAAATCAAGCAAAGGCCCACCTAAGAAGAAGCAAAAGGGCGATCTTTTCACCGAGAAACGCCCCAAAAAGGCTGACATTTCGGACGATTCCGACGGCTCAGATGAAGAAGTAAAGGAATTGGTAAACTTTGATGGAGACGAGGAGGGTTCTGATTCTGGTTCTGACCTTCTGTCTGGGGACGATGATCCTCTAGCTGATGACTTCCTGCAAGGAAGTGATGATGAAGGTACTAATTTTGCTGAATCCTCCTGCTTCCTTCAGGTTCGATGACACAGGAAAATGGAATGCTTCATATTTGTTGACATCTGGTTTATGTGATGTGGTTTGGTGCAGAAGAAATTTCAGGCTCGGATTCTGGTGCTGGTTCAGACGGTTCAGACTCTGATTCAGATGACTCTGATATTGAGCGGAAGTCTAGAGCTCTGGATGAACGTAGAGCAAGGGAAGAAAAGGACGCAGAGGAAGAGCTGCAAACCAATATTGCTGAGGAATCGGACGAGTTCCGGCTTCCAACCGAGGAGGTCTGGAGCCACTTTTCTGTTTTCTGCTAATTCTACAAAATTTTGAATGTATTGGTTTCTTCTGCTGGCTTCACTGATTTTGAATGTCCCTACTAATGTCATATCAGGAACTCGAAATTGAGGCAAATCGCCCTCCTGATCTTCAGAATCTCCAAAGACGAATCCAAGAGAGTAAGATGCACTCTCTTTTCAGTTCTAACCTTTGTTCTTTGTCTGTTAAGGAGGGCAATTGCCAACTAATTCTTTTGTTGGTTTACAGTTACTAGAGTGCTTTCAAATTTTAAAGATTTGAGGCAGGAAGGAGCGAAGAGAAAAGATTATATTGAGCAGCTTAAGTTGGATCTAAGTTCTTATTATGGCTACAACGATTTCCTTATGGGAGTTTTGATAGAGGTGATTCAAGTTTTTGGTTGACGTGCTAGAATCATTAAATTTTTTTTTTTCGTTTTATCTTAAATCTTATGCGATTGGATTGTTTCTTACTATATGTTTTGTTTAACTTTCAGATGTTTCCAGTTAATGAACTTAAGGAACTTATTGAAGCTTTTGAAAAGCCAAGACCTATATGCTTACGAACAAACACTTTGAAGGTGAGAAATGCCTGAAATTGCTTGAACCAGTTATGTGGCCTGTTTTCTTGCTTCTCCTTATGCTCATTGGTTTATTGTGGCTGAATCTGCTTAGACAAGAAGACGTGATTTGGCTGAAGTCCTGTTGAAAAGAGGAGTGAACTTAGATCCCTTGAGCAAGTGGTCAAAGGTAAGAAACTGTTGCTGGTATTTTTGTGTGTTATAGTGTATGTAATTGTCAACTTATGATGTTAATATGTCATCAGGTCGGACTGGTTGTGTATGATTCACAAGTGCCAATTGGGGCCACTCCTGAATATATGGCTGGGCTCTACATGGTATTTGTGATTTGTGTACCTTCATATTCTTCCTCTTGCCAGTTTCCTGAGTTATACAGTTATAGATTATGACTTAATAACTGTTTGATGACAGCTACAAAGTGCAAGTTCATTTTTGCCTGTTATGGCGCTTGCTCCCCAAGAAAAGGAGCGGATTGTCGACATGGCGTAAGTAGTAATTGTTATGTTTCATTTTCTTCTTGGATTCTGATGAACTGATTGTATAACTTGTCAATTCTTTCTTGAGTGGTTTATCTATCTATTCAAATTATACAAAAAATGTGAAGATATCATCCTGATCAATGGCAACAAATGTGCTCTGCCTTTCAGTTACGATGTGAAAATTGTTTTGGATGATTGCTCGCATTGCCTTCAAGCTCGTGCTTTAGTGCTAAGCTGTTCTATTACTTTGTGTTAAATTGTAATTTTTGTGAGTGCCTTGTGTTAAAATCTTCAAGGTGTGCTTTGTAAGGTTGAAGGCTTTGGAATACATCTCTCACCCATTTACACATATATATGCTAGTGTTGACCAACTTCGGTTTCCAATCTTGTAACTTAACATTCATCTATCATTTTGTCCTTTCCTTCCCGATGATTAGTCTCATTATCAAGTATGCATAGTCATCGTTCCATGCCGAATTTGTATATTTATATACATATGACGTAGCAACTTCTTTCTGTCGCAGAGCTGCACCTGGTGGTAAAACAACATATGTTGCTGCTCTTATGAAAAATACAGGTATATTTTCATTTCTTGATATTTGCATTCTCTTGCTTGTAGGTGATATTTCATTAGCCATCTCGGATATGTGAGACCACCCGAGATTATCAAATATGTGAACTATAGAGGATCTCTTTGTCTATTCTTTTCTGACAACTAGTTAAAGTTAGAACATGCAAAGACAAAAGGAATATTCCCACCTTAAGTAATCTTACAGCTTCTCAGAAGCAACTTGTTCTCACTTTGTAACTAACTGGGATTCCACATGCTCCATGATGATTGCCGAGGCCCCTGGCTGAAGTTCATTTGGTTTACTTTCAGCGCTCACACATGTATTCTACTTTAATCATTGGTCAGGAATAATTTATGCAAACGAGATGAAGGAACCAAGGCTTAAGTCACTGACTGCTAATTTGAATCGGATGGGGGTGTCAAACACCATAGTTTGTAACTATGATGGTAGAGAGGTTGGTTTTTAACTATTGGGTTTATTAGGTCTCCAGTTGGTGCTGTGGATTTCTAATCCGTTTTCTACTATTTTGTTGTAGCTTCCCAAGGTTTTGGGTGTCAATTCAGTTGATAGAGTGTTGCTGGATGCTCCCTGTAGTGGAACAGGGGTAAGGAGCACTCTTAAATGGCCATCTAATCTTATTTCACTGCCCTTGTAATGGTTGAAAACACATTCTTTCTGAATGACATGCAGGTCATATCTAAAGACGAGTCAGTAAAAACGTCCAAAAGCCTGGAGGATATAGAAAGAAGCGCGCAACTCCAGAAGGTAGATAGCTGAAATCTGTCAATCTAGCAACTTGTTATCAGCCTAATTGTATCTTCATTTGTTGGTTAAGCTTTAATAAATATATTCATTTGTTGCAGCAATTAATACTCAATGCAATTGACATGGTTGATGCAAACTCAAAATCTGGGGGATATATTGTTTACTCCACATGCTCCATGATGATTGCTGAGGTTCGTGGTGTTAGCAGGTTATGTTGTTGGATTTCATTGTTCTCCTCCCCTTACATGCATTTTTCGAAATTCTTCCTGCAGAATGAAGCAGTCATTGACTATGCTCTCAAGAAGAGGAATGTTAAACTGGTGCCTTCTGGGCTCGACTTTGGCCGCCCAGGGTAATTCTAATTCTCCGCCAGCTGCTCCTATCTATTTTACACATTCGAATGAAGTAATAAGAATGGTTTGTCTGTCTTTATAGGTTTACTCGATTCAGAGAGCACCGGTTTCACCCATCATTAGATAAGGCTAGACGGTTCTATCCCCATGTAAACAACATGGATGGGTTTTTTGTGGCAAAGGTAAGTGTGGGATTTTCATATTCATATTGCCATGTAGCTAGCCCATTTTTTCTCATTTGGTCTTAATGAAAATGACTTCCCTCATCAGCATGTTACTTCTTTACCTTTTTCCAGCTGAAGAAAGTAAGCAATGCATTACCTACTGTCGCCGCTGCTGAAGCTGTGGAGTCTATAGAGCAAGCTCCAGTGTCTGGTGAGAAAGACGCCGTTGAGTCTGTAGAGGAAGCTCCAGTGTCCGGTGAGAAGGATGTTGTGGGCGGAAGAGTGGGGCCTTCCAAGGAAGACAGTACCAAGAAAAACAATGCAGGTTTGAAAAAACAAGCACACAAAAATGGGAATGAAGTATCCGAACCAGCAGCTGGTAAACGCAAGGAGAGGAAGTTCCCATTCAGAAAGGAAGTGCCACGCAAAGCGGAAATCATAAAAGCCAGGTAGCTACTAATCAGAATGGTGATATATCTCTGGTTGTCTTTTCACCCATTTGAAGTTCCATGCCTGTTCTACCTAATGTATGTATATTGAAACAATCTGCAGGGAGGAGAAGAGACAAGCATTGAGGGGAACAAAAAGAAAAGCGGGAGGGAGCAAGTAGAGGAGGCCACCGATAACAGAAGCAAGAAAGCCTATATACGTTGGATGGAGGAATGCTCAGAACAGAATACTCTAATAGGATCATATGCCATGTCGTTAAGTTATATGGTTTCCATCAGCATGTTTGTTTGGAGGGGATGATGAGACTCTCCTTGTGCAAGAGTTTGTTGGTCCTCTTGCTTTCTTATGTAGCAAAATATTCAGCTTTAGCTTTTCGAGTCACTTATGGACACCCCCTCCCTTCTGTGGAGTGCCTGTGTCCTGAATTCACCATTTTGCTCTTGGGGGGTTGTTACAACCACTGTAAAATTTTGTTTCGTTTACCAAACAGCTCATTCGTTGTTGGAGTAATGCAGTCTCGTTTGTTATGGCAGGAAAGTTTTCCTGCTTAATTCTTCGTTGATGTCCATTTTGTCACCATTTAAGTAGATTCCCTCGCCCATTGTATATGACAAAGTGGATGAAACATGTCAGAAGAGGGGTTACAGCGGATCATTTGGTCAATAAACTTGTCTTCTCTGTAACGGGATTTGAGTTGGGCGGCAAGAATTGGACGGGACAAAGTCGGCTATCTCTCAAACGTGAGCAGACGAGACACGGCTAAGAAGACAGAAGTCAATTCGTGGTCCTCATGACAATGTTTGTCATACCACCTGGCTGTAATCGTCACAGTCAACGTCGACAGATTCGATTCTCGGACAAGATGAAAGAATGAGGTAGAAATTAAGAAATATGATCATTGTTCGTGACTAGAGTATTTATATATACAGTGCTCAATTAAAAATCAAAATAATTCCCATCATTGTGCATCGGTGCACCCATATTTTTTTGGGTCATTTACCGAGATTTCTGTATGAAACTATGAATTAAGGGGTAGTTTGAAAGTTACGATTATTTTGTTGAGATTGTCATTATGCATGTATTGTTTACATTGCATCGTTTTTTGTTTTTTTGTTTTTTTAGCAGAAACAATACATGGATTGTTTTCGTGATGTGACAGAAACTATCACTCATTTTGAGTGATTGTTATATCTCAACTTTTAGTTGTGATTGTTGAGATAGTTGAGTTGAGATTGTTTTGTCTCGGCTTTTAGCTGATGCGACATACACAATCACACATACCAAACGTTGTATTCTACAATGCATCAAATTCGACAATACATGTATAATATTCGACATGCATTCTCAACAATACATCTATTTAACAATCGCAACTTCCAAACGACCCCTAAGTGCAGGTATGGAGAATGTAAAAAAAAAATTAATTACAGAAAATGGATGGAAACCCGAGAAAGTTTGCTAAAAATATTACATAAAAGTGGATGATTTATAGATAGTTAAAGTAAATTTTTTTATCAAAAGGTGTTGTTCACACATTTTAAGTGAAAAAAAGAAGTTGAATTCAAATGGAGAAATTATAAAGACAATACAAAATTAATGAATGCGAGAGGATAAATCATATATCAGGTAAAACAATCTAAAATTATATGTTCTAACAATTTGTTCTTGCATTCATTGATTTCAACTTTTGAAAAGAAAGAAAAATTAGTCAAGACTCACGAAATCTCTTCACTCCTTATACATAAAATCCAGGTAAGGACAAGCATCCTTCACCCCATGGAGAAGATACTAAATCTTAAGTTCCTTTTTTTTATCATATACTAATATGCAAAATCATTGTGAATTGTGTTGTGATATTAATATGCTAGATTTCAGAAAGATAATAAACATAATACTATACGGGAATCTCCATTCATGGCGTTTTTATTACCTGATTTGGAGGATCAATCATGGGCCAATCTTTTTCATGAATAACCTTTTGTTTTCGGCGAATATTCGATCTCCTCTATTTAAGAAGCGCATTCAACTGTTTGTTTCATCTCAGAAACAACGATACTAATGAACCTCGATTCTCTCCCTCGCCCCGTCCGTTGAATGCAATTTTTTCATTTTTCAGACCGACTTTCCCCTTTAGAATCGCAGCTGTTCTTCAAAAGGGTCAGCTACAGACAAAAGAGAGAAAGCAGTTTCGAACAAGCCAAGAAGCTCTGTCTCTGTGATATACAAGTGTGTTGTTTATACAATAAAGTTCGGAGCTTTTGATCAGTTTTGTGTAGGGGAAGAGCAGCATAATACAGAAAAATATAATGGGTATGGCTAATCAAGAAGCGATCAAGCAGTTTCAGTCTCTGATGGACAAAGGTCAGCTCCGCATCAAAACCCATTTAGCTTTTCTCTCTTGACTTGTGGCTTTCTGGGTATATTTCGAGTTTTGATTGTCTGCTTCTGCTGATGGCAATTTGTTTATTTTTATTTGCTTTTCTTGATCTTACAAACAGTGGATGAGCCGCTGAAGAATAGTTTCAAGGTTAGTCTCCTTTCTCTTCTTCCCTTCGGTCTCCTCTTCTTTTCCCCCTCTGTTTACAATCAAGTGACTCATGGAGAAGAAAAGTCGGAGAAGATGAGGCTGAAAGCTGATCAAACTTAGTTTTGGAACAAAGTTGTCCTTTTCAGCTAATGAAAACTGTATTGAACCGACAGAAAGCATCTGCCTTTGCAGCTCTAGAATTTGTTTCAGAGAAGAACTTGATCTGGGTTTGGTTTGTTATCATTTAATTGTTTGGCATATGATTATATTTGTAGCCTTGTTTCAACGAGGTGGCCTTGGCAATTATACTTTCTGTGGTTTCAGTTTCTTTTGCTTGGAACAGAATTGTTTGTAGTAAGTTCTTTGTTGACAGTTACTGTAGGGAAGTTTGATTTGGTATATCAGTTGCTGAGAGCTGGTGGATTTAGGTATTCTTAGACGCAAATTTTGTATTTTTTGCTGATAATGAGACATATACAGGTTATTTTAACTTTTGAGTACTTTATCTGATTGGATACTATATGAGACAATAATATCTCACAAAAAAAAAAAAAAAAAAAGAGACAATAATAGCATAAGCAAGAAGGGAACTTGATTATAATCTATGGAGCTGTTTCACTATTTCTGGATAAGTGACTTGGTAAAAAAGACAATTATTTGCTGAGAGTCCCAGTTCCGGCTCTGATCAATGATAGAACTAGTTTGGTTGGCTGGTGTAAGCTAGGTTTCTCCAAGGATTCTCTTCTCTTATATGTGAGTTGTAGTATACCTGGGAATGAATTCAGCTGTGTAGTTGTATGGCTCTTAGAATTTGCTGAGTGTTTTCTTTACATTTAATGTTAGAGTCAGAACATAATAGTTTGAATGGGATTCATTCTTGTGAACCACAAGGCATTTCTGAATGAATGATTTATCGGTTGTCTGCAGAATGTGCACCAGGGATTTCTAACTGAAACTTTGACAAGATTTCTTAAAGCACGAGAATGGAATGTTGCCAAGGCTCATAAAATGGTTAGGTTGATTTTATTATTATTCCATCTTGTCAATGTTCTCTCTTTCTTTTATATTTATATCCTTCTAGAGTTCATATGGTTTTCTATTTGTTCTTCTTGTCCATTGCTGCAGTTGGTTGATTGTTTGCAGTGGAGGGTACAGAATGAGATTGACAACATTTTGGCGGTTAGATCTTTGTCTTGGTTACTAGAGTTGGACCGACCTACTTTCTTAGCATTTCCTTCCTTCTAGTTATCTTCCATATATGCAGAATGTGTTTTGCATACCTAGATACGTTTGCTTGGGAGATTCTTGCTGAGTTTCTTTCTTATTGTTGACCAGTTCATTATTTTGTATTCAGAAACCAATTGTTCCTACAGAATTGTATAGATCAGTTCGGGACACTCAGCTTGTAGGATTGTCAGGTTATTCGAAGGAGGTATGGTCTGATTTTATAATAAATAAATCTATCTATGTACTTGTAACATAATTGGCTTATTGTTCCTTAAGAAAATAGATCAACCGACTGTTCCTTATGTATTACCTTGAAGGGTCTCCCGGTCATTGCTGTTGGTGTGGGGCAGAGCACCTATGACAAAGCTTCTGTAAGATTCTTACACCATTAGTATATTCCGTTGGTTGCATTTGCATACATCCAATGTGGCTTTGAGGTTGAAAAACTATGCTGGTTGCTGAGATAAATGAGGAATCTGTTTCTCCTGACTTGAAAGTGTGCTGCAAAACCATGGCCATGTTGTAATAGTAATAGCAATTTATGTATTCTACCCCTCATATTCAGGTTATTATCTTTTGTTGCTTTTCAGGTACATTACTATGTGCAGTCCCACATCCAAATGAATGAATACCGGGATCGTGTAGTATTGGTGAGTCGAAATTTTGGCCATTTAGATTTCATTACTCATTTGCTTTCGTGTGATGAAGCATTACAAGTTGTCTATTGTAGCCTAACGCAACCAAGAAATGGGGAAGGCGCATTGGCACATGTATTAAGGTTTTGGATATGACTGGTCTAAAGCTTTCGGCACTAAATCAGATAAAGGTACATTCAATCTTCCAATGTTTGATTTGCATCTCTTCCATTCTATAGGCATTTATAAATCTCCCTTGTCTGTTGATCTCTGAATGCAGTTATTAACTGCAATATCTACAATTGATGCCTTAAACTATCCAGAGAAGACAGACACATATTACGTTGTCAATGTCCCATACATATTTTCTGCCTGTTGGAAGGTTCTCATCTATCTCTCTTTATTTTCACAGCATTTCTAGTATCTATTATAAACCCATATATAATGGTGTTCACCAACATCTATACATTCGTTGACAGGTTGTGAAGCCTTTATTACAAGAGAGGACAAAGAAAAAGATTCAGGTGCTACAAGGTTCTGGGAAGGAAGAATTGTTGAAGGCAAGGAAGGCAATCTGTTTGTTCAGGATCGGTCAAAAATACTTTTTTCACCGCTTCCATTGGAACTGAACTTTTCTTTATTTTTGAATGCAGATAATGGATGTTAACTCACTCCCTCACTTCTGTAAACAAAGGGGTTCTGGTTCTTCTCGTGTTGTTGCTGCTGCAAATGGAACCACCACCACCACAAACTGCTACTCGTTAGATCATGCCTTCCACCAGCAGCTCTACAACTATGTTAAGCAACAAGCTGAGCAGGAGGAATCCTATTCACGACTTCTCAAACAAGGCTCGGTCCATGTAAATTTCCCTGCGCCTGACCCCGAAGGTGCCATGATTGCGACGAGGATAGAGTCCGAGCTCCACAAGCTAGGTGATTCCAATGGCTTCAACAACTCGTTCAGCAGACTCCAGGTGAATGGCATGTGAAAAGAGCTGAAACAAGGAATGAATGAACATATAGGGATATTTGATTTATTTACTGATTTCTCACCAATATTAAGTGGACTAGAGAGAGGCAGAGAGATCCAGGCCTCAGCAAAACTCGAGAAAGATGGTGAAAGTTGTCGACTTTGTACTAAGGTTATTGAGTGTGTAGCCTTTCAATTTGTTGCATCAGCTCGATGCACATCTTGCAGAGTAAGTTGAGGGGCTAAGACGAGAAACATCTTAGGGTGGAATGATCTTCTTGTGACCTACCTCTATATTATTTTATAAGGAATTACTTGCTTCAGAAGAGCTTTACTCATTTTGCACATTGTCTTGGAGCCACTATCAAAATGCAACTTATGGTTGTTTGTATGTTCATCAGAAGAGCTTTAATTAATCCTTAGCCACATTTTGGTTCTTGAACTAAAAATGGGATTAAAGACAAATTTCCTTGAATTTTTTTCAGTCATTTCTCAAACCCCCTTATTTCCATGAAGACTCTGACACCCAGCCATCTTATCAATTGCTTTTGGAACTCTTCTGATGGTTGAGTGCAGGCTGTACATCCAACATGTTGAGAGAGCTATTTGGCATTATGAAGTCTTTCGTAGAGATGAACGAATAAGTAGAGAAAGCTTCACTTTGTAAACCCAGAACAAACGGTAGGAAAGGATTAATTTACAGATTCTTTGAACTCACGAGTTTTGCTTATGAAGATTAGTCACAAAAAAAAAAAAAAAAAAAAAAACACGCACAAACACAAACACAAAAGGAAAGGAATTGGAATGATTTAACTCAGCTGTTTGTAGCATTTGTATGCAACGGCAACTGACGCGACGGCACAAACCACAGCAGCAGCTGCATATGTATCTTCAAGCTCCCAGCTCTCTAGCCATGTTGGCTTTCCACAAACTCTATGCACTAGGGACTTCTTCCCACTATTACGACGGGAGATCAACTTCTTGTTGCTCTTTTTCTCCTCCAATAGAGATAGCTTCCCTTCTTTCGGCTTGTTGTTTTCTGTTGAGACAGGCTTTTGACTGCAAGAAGCAGAGTTCCCATTTTCCTGGCAGCGACCTCCAGTGGCGTCGGGTCCAGAAACAGTGCCTGCTGCAACACTTGCTTCAACATCTGTTTTTCTTAGTGTCACTTCATTGCTATCCACCAAATTATTCCCGTTCAGTTGCAGCCGTTGTTCTTGCCACTTAATCTGATCCTCTACTGGCAAACCCATCTGGCCCCTGAATCCAGCATTAACGTATGGCATTATTGAGCAGTTCGACATAGAAATAACATTAATGACATTACAGGCATATTTTGATCATCAGGACGTGACTCATTGCACCTCCTCATTGATCGACTTAGATACTGTCTCAATGTTCCTTGTTTATACAATTATGTCTCACTTCACAATTTAATGACTGAACTTGCTTTGAATTAAGTATGGAACTTTTTATTTGTTCAAAACTATTGGCAAGAAACAAAAGAATACCTCCACAGCCAATCGACAATCTCTCCTCTGCCAATGTGTTGTTCGAGTAATATGGGCACATCATCTGGAGTAACATATCCATACCTGTAAGGAATTCCCAAAATCTTTCAGAGGAGAAAAATAAGAGACAAAACAAAATTGCCACGTATATAAAAAATGTATTTGTGATCTCATAATTACCAGTGTCCAGTGATGCCTCCACTAACACTTGATCCGAAAATGATGATGTTTCCAGCATATTTATGGCCCCCAATGTGTGAGCATGCACTAACAGAGACTCTAGCTTGCAGACCACGAACTTCTATCTCTTCTTTAAATCTTCCAATTATGGCCGGACCACAAACGCCACAACGGCGATCTCTGGAGGCATGAGAGCATACAAACACATAGCAACCATGAAGCTTTTCTGGAGTTCCGGGCATCCATTCACCATCTTTGACCAGCACTTCCTCCACAAATGTGTCGACGTCAAAATGTGTTAACCTCCTGCATCATCATTCACTTGGTAAAATCAGTATTTACTAGGAGGAAACAGAGCATCAAAGAACAGGAACTATAGGGAAAGAGTCAAACTGATTGACCTGTATCTGACCATGTCAGGAAAGATTAACACATCCCCATTTGAGGTTTCTGTTCCATCATGTCCCTCACATATTGTTAGACGGGTCTGGAATGACAACAGCAAAAATTGATGAAACAAAAGAGATTCAGATATTATTATTCATGAGCCAGAAGTTGAGTTGATGGGGGCTATTTACAAACTGCACTTGCAGAAGACTGAAATAGGTGGCACTCAGGCTCATTTCCGGCCATCTAATTCTACCAAATCAAGACAATAAGAGCAACTAGACCATTCCAATCTTTACAGACACAGCACATGATCAACTATACTTGCAACTAGCACTGCGTAGCAACAAAGCAAAACTGCAGATTTTTATATAAGATGCTCACATGCGATTCCCCAGTAACTGGAAAGCGAATGAGAAACATCAACATCAGATTGTATGTCAAAAATAATCTGAAAATCAGTCATGTTGTGCGAAATTGCTCACTTGGAACCACACCAATGTAGAGATATAGAGGCAAGCGCCATAATTGGAACAAGTGAATGTAACAATGACCCTCTATCAGGGCGAAGAAACCACTCACCCCTGTCAGCAAGTTGTTAACAAAACATAACTAAGGAGTTTGAGAATAAAAGCAGCAAATGGAAAATAAATACATGAACGGTTCCTTGCAATGCCTAACCTTTATGATAAAGAAGATGAAAACTCAGTCATGGACCCTGTCAGGCTGTCACCACCTAAATGACACTGAGCAGGTCCCTATCCAACACATGCAATCACACTCCTCGACACTACTGTGAAAGTCTTACTCCAAGTCGGTACACAAACTACAACAACTCAACAGAAGACCCAGACGTCAGGAATGAGTTCAACTGGACACCAAATCACATTTCTTTCACGAAAGATCAAAACCCAAAACTACGCTACCAAAAACTCAATTTCCATTCAACTAAAGGGCAAACCTTCAACGCACCTCTTTCTTCATATCAGCTTTCCTTGCAGTGACGGCAGCTGAGAGCAATCTCGGCAGGCGATCAAACTCGGCAGCCTCAATCCGCTGAGGCCAAACAGAAGGGTTCTTGTAACACAAAAAGACATGGCGCTCGTAGTACTGCACGGTCCCGACAAGCGGGCTCTGCCTGAAGTCCGGCCGAGAGAAGCCGAATTCGGCGTCGATATTGGCAGCGGCGGCGGCGGCGTCGTTTAGGAAACCCGGGTCGTTCTGGAAACTGCTGGAGGCGCTGCCGATGAGGGAATTGTTGGATGGGTCGGAAGAGAGGAAGGCGGCGGCGGGGTCGAGGTAGTCGGAGACTGTGATCGGAGAGGACGAGGAAGAATGGATGTTGTTTGGGTAGGAAAGTGGATCTTCTCTATGATGGCTTCCCATCACCGACGAGCAGAGGAGAATCGGAGAAGTGGAAAGATCGGAGTGTGGCTACGGTTGGGGTGGAATAATGGGTTTTTGGACCACCGTGGGAGGCAAAAGTGAAAAATGTCACTCGGCAAGAGTGAGTGACTGCTGCTGAAACTCAGAGAGCGCCGAGTTGTGTGACGTTAGTTGTTTCCCACTTTCTGATTTTCACCTTTTCTCCGTGGTAAAGGAAACCGTACTGGAAGTTATATCGGCTCTGCTAGTGGTAGGGTATTTTGTGGTACTACCGTGATTCAATCGTTGTGTACCGGCAAAATACCGTTTTTGTAATTAAATAATATTTTTTTGTTAAAAACTGTATCGGCAGATTCGGGATACCGTTTCGGAATAATACCGGAATATACCGGATAACAAACCTGAATAAACTAAATAAGCATATTTAATATAAAATTCAACAAACTGCAACATTACTGAATTAACTACATAATCGTTCAAATGCATGTTTACGATCGAGTACAAAACAACCAAACAACATTCTTAAACCATCTACTTTAGTGACTCATTTGAAACAAAAAAAGAACATTGAAACAAAAAAAAAACTTATAATCGTTATTTCACACATCTACTTCAGTGACTGGTTTCTTCAAAATCTACAAGTTCGGCTACTAATTTGCTTGTGATCAAACTTTAATATGATCAAATGAATGCAATTTCCAACCATCCCAAGAGAATTGACACTACACCATTCCAATATTTCATTTGCATGACATGCACCTAAATCAATTGCCTTCATCCATATTCCAATACCCATTTGAAGCCTAATAGATTTGTGGCCAGAGATTCGGATCCACTCAATAGTGGGACGGTGGATCAGCAGTTCATTTTTTAACCCTACTATTTACTAGAATCTATAGAGGATTAATAATTACATTTGGGTTTGTGTTGCATTGATTAATCAAATGAGTGAAAACAAAATAGTGATTTGTTCGCAATCATGTGGGTTTATGACAAACAAAAAGGCAGATTCAACAGTCGTTTGAGAACGAATCCAAAGAGAATCATCAAATAAGGAAAAGAAGCAATTTTGGGAGTGTATTCATGATCAAATGATGTCTAATCTTAAATCTTATATATTCCAATCCCAGAATCTACTCTCTTTCTGTATCTATGAAATCATACATGATCAAGTAAACTAAAAAGAAAGAAGAAGAAAATTACTCCAGAGATACATGCAAGACTGCATTTTTCGATGCTCTGTTATGCCCAAACGAAAAGAAATTCCTTCTGCTTCTGCTACTTCCACCACTACACCCTTCAACTGAAATTTTATGAAACATACACTGTTGCCGTGTTCTTCTTGAGCAGGGGAGGGAGACGCGTGCCAGTGCCGGAGGCGCGTGCCGGAGCAGCGGCGGAGTAGTGGCGGAGCGCGGAGCAGCGGCGGAGCAGAGCAACCGCAGAGCAGCGCGGAGTAGCCGCTGGCCTGGTCGCCAGTCGAGAAGAGGAGGGAGGATCGCCAGGTCCTGGTCGTCGCTCGAGAAGAGGAGGATCGCGGTCCTGGTCGCCAGCAGCAACAAACGAAAAACGAAGACTGCGACCGATGATTTAGGGTTTTGACTTTTGAGGCTTCGGCCGATTTTTTTTTTTCTTCGTAATGCCAAAACGACGCCATGTCCTTCCCATCAGCTTACCCCCGGTTAGACCAAAACCTCCCGGTTTTTTGAATTGAACCGGTTTACCGGGAAAACCGGTCGGAACGACTCTTTCACTACAAACCAGCTACCGTATCGGCCAGGCGCCATTTCCGGTTTTACCGGTTCAACCGGCCGGTACGATCCGGTTTCCTTTACCATGCTTTTCTCCCCCTTAGCTTAGAGAATCAGAATAGAGATATTTTGCATCAATTTTTTTCTTATTTTTCCTTTGTTATACTAGATTTGAACCCGGGCCGTTGGCCGGATATATTTTTATTAATGGTATAAACAACAATAATAAATTTTCTAATTTGCTATCATAAATTAATCCAAATATTAAATTATTGATAAAATAAAATAAAAACATGAATTGTAAATTTGAAAAAAAAATTCATATCATAACCAAGTCGTCAACTAATATCAATGCCGAAATTTAAAATAAATCATGCAAGGGAATCAACTTCTACAAAATGTATTCAAATCACACTTCAGTTAGAATTACTTTATAAATTTCTTTTTGACTTCGTGATTGCTTCCTCATTAGCATTATCATCCCCACTAACAACAACACCTTCATCTCCATTAATAACACATCTATTTCCACTATCAATATTTGTGATTGGTCTCCTGCGTTTGTTCTCTTACTTCATCTCTTGAATTTCATTGAGAGCTAAATAAATTGGTATTTTTTTAAAATATGAAACTTATTTTTTTTACGTCTTTCAAATAATGAATATTGTTTCATATTTGCACGTCTTGTTAATTTTTTATAATTTTATCTCCACAATTAGTTGTCTCTACTTTTTTCTCAACAATGTCATTGTCTCTGAAAGCACTACCTCCACTATTATAAGACTCTTTTTTCTTCTTATGTGTTTCATTTAAAGCAAGAACTTAATGATAAAATATTTACACATGTGAAGCACCATTTTTTCTCAAGTTAAAAAATAATCTTCCTAAAAGAATTTCATATTGTTTTTATTCTCGCCACAAATTACAATATTACATGCACATATAAACTTCCGTCTAATTAATCACTTTTGGGATTTGAAATAGATCTTTGCTTTTTTAATAGTGAACAAAACAAAATTTGACATTTTTGGTTGGGCATGCCTGTGATAATTTTGTTCAAACTCCAAAAAATTTGTGTGAAAACTTTGGTTTTTGTGATAGTTTGGTTGGGATAGTTACAATGCATGTAATGTATTGTCCACAATGCATCGTTGTTGTTTTTTTTAAATCTTCTGCACAAACAATACATGCATTGTTTGCTTGATGTGATGGAAACTATCACTCAAAATGAGTGATAGTACTTTCTCTACTAAAACTTGAGATTGTTGAGATAGTTTTGAAGAGATTGTTGGGTTTCTTTTTTCTTCCAAGTATACCCCTAGTTATATATATGTTCTCACAAAAGCAATGGCAAAATTGACCTTTCTAAAAAAAAGTAAAATAACATGTTGAATATTAAAAGAACTATCCCCAAAACCAAACAATGTAAAGTACATTACATCATTTTCCTTAATTGCATGTATATTACAATGCATGTAATGATTTAAATATCACCAAAACCAAACGATCTAGCTGTTGATCGACCTGATTAATATGGTTATATTATGTGATATAATTTGTGTGGCTTATGTCATGTTGATCACATTGTTTTTCATGCCGACCATTTCAAAGAAACATACATGTACATATAGAAATTTGTGGCCCTATATATATGACAGATAATGGTCTATCGAAATATAATAGCCGATCATGTGGTTGTTTGGTAGACCAATTTGGAGTGAAGGTTAACATATTTTAATCGAGGTGTCACTTTTTTGCCCACCGAATAAAAGAGATCTATTTAACATATATAGTGTTTTAATTAGAGTTCAAAGCGACTGAAGTAGTATCAAATTCATTTGATTACTAATTAACATAATATCTTTCTAATAACCGTAAACTAAAAGGAGACAAAAAAAAAATTGCCTACAAATTGACCAAATTGTAGGGCTTAATTGCAAGTTTGGTCACTCGAATTGCTATAAAATTTTACGTTTGCCACTCAAATTAATTTATTCCATTTATAGTCACTCGAATTAGTTGAACAGTTCAAGTTCGGTCACTCTCCGTTAACCTCCGTTAACTTTGACTCACGTGGCGGTCAACTCTGATAGTTGACCGTTAAATGTGTGACGTGGCAAATAAAAAATAATTAAAAAATAAAAATTAAATTTTTAGAAATTACACATCATTATCACAAAAAATTATAATTATAAAAAATTTTATAATTATAATTTTTCCATGGAGTTCAGGTGCAGAGCCGGCGACCGCATACTGCCGCCGATTGAGTCCTCCCACCACCGGCCTTCACCCTCCGCCGCCGTGCCTCATCCGCCGTTTCGAGGTTCGGTATTTCTCGGTCGGTTCTCTTCTTTCGCCTGCACTCTTCGATTCAGTTTCTTACGAGTACCTCTGTTTTTTTTTTGGGCCGGGAATGATCAGGTGTTCAGTCGAGCCTCCAACTGATGACGGACGAGACGCTCCATCGGGAGCTTGAGAAGGCGCGGGTGTGGCAGGAGATAATCGCGGAGGAGATCGAGCGGCGTAAGGAGGTTATGAGGGCGGAGTTGCGTCGGCAGATGATCGGGGAGAAAGATCCGGAGTCGGCGATTTCGACGGCGGAGTCGGGGCGCCCGATATTTCCGGAACAGCCGCCGGAGCGCCGTTTCATTATTACTCCTCCGGTGACGCCGATGCCTGAGGTCATGCCTCCTTCTGCCTCTGCCGCGGAACCTAACAAAGCGGAGAAGCTGTCCGATCTCGGAGGCGGGAAGCATGAGAAATCGGAGGACGATGAGGGGGAGAAACCCAAGGAAGATTTCAGGTGTGTGGTTTGCCAGGTGAGTGCTACTTCTCATAAGCAAATGATCGAACACCTCGCGGGCAAGCAGCACGAGGCCAAATCTAGCTCTTTGGCAGGGAGGATAAGGAAGAGAGTTGGTTCCCAGATGCAGAAGAATCATGGGAAGCGCGGGAAGTTCAGTAGGAAGTGAAGCCATTCTCTTTCCCTTAACTGTAATCTTTTTTTCATTTTTTATAATTATAATTTTTTTGTGATAATGATGTGTAATTTTTAATTATTTTTTATTTGCCACGTCACACATTTAACGGTCAACTGTCAGAGTTGACCGCCACGTCAGTCAAAGTTAACGGAGGTTAACGGAGAGTGACCGAACTTGAACTGTTCAACTAATTCGAGTGACTATAAATGGAATAAATTAATTTGAGTGGCAAACGTGAAATTTTATAGCAATTCGAATGACCAAACTTGCAATTAAGCCCAAATTGTAGTTTGGGGCTTTAGGCCCAATAATGAAATTATTTCTAGTCAGCGGAGTTAGTGAGAAGCAAGGTTGTCAAACCGGTTTAAGTCATTGAGCCGGTCAAGCAAGGGGTTTGAGGTTTAATGGTCTGATCGGGGTCCGGCCGGTTTGAGCCGTTTTAGACGTTTTCTAAATATATATACAAATAAAGTAGTAATTAAAAATTTAATGAGTGAAATAAAATTTATCTTACATATATATATTAAAAACTTATTTTCAACAAAATAAATCTACCTAACCTCCATGATCCACCTACCATTTCCCTTCCTTCGTTCTTTTTCCTCTCTTCTGCCTCTCTTCTTCTCCCTGTTTAGGGGTCAGACCGGGGGGTTTTCTGGAGGCCGTTTTGAAGCCCGACTCGGGTTGAACCGGGTCCAACCGGGGGTTCTATAGGGTTTTAACAACTTTGGTGAGAAGAGGGCGTAAAAGCCTAAAAAAAATGAAAAGACACCTGTATCCTTCCGTGGGATGCGCTCAAGGCTTCAATATGGGTTTAAACCCCCTTCTCCCGTGGAATCTCCTTATAGGAGTTTGTAGATAGAAGATAGATAAATCTAGAACACATATAAAGCAGATTCATCACCCCGTTTTGCTCCATTTTGAAATTCCGGCCCTGGGAGTGTTTCCCGGAAGGGTATTGTCGACATTTAGCCTATATTAATGACGCTCTGCGTTTAGGCTCCCGGATTAAGGCTTTCATAATGGGCGGGTTATGGACTTCGAGGGCGTTGTTGGCCGCTGGAAAGCTCTCTTGGAATAGCCCATTAGTTCAAGGCCCACGAATTTACTATGGCGGCTCGACGTGGAACGTGGTGGATTGCTAAGCAGATGCAAAGCCAAGCACAAATCAAACAAATATCGCAAAGACGCAAACCAAACACGTCTTAACTCTTAACAAAGGCACTCCTAGGCTGACGTCCTTTACCTGCGTCTCCCCAATTCGCAGAGCATGATGACGTTAGGTTTTTCGTAGGGGAAACAAAGATCTCCTTACAAAGAATGATGTGCTTCTGCCAAGAACACCAAAGAGAACGAGCCTGAATGTATATGTCCCAGTTCCTTCATCATGCAGCTGACGCACAACAGTAGCGCCCAGTTCATAAGCTGGTAATTCAAGAGTCTAAGTTGATTCAGCTCTCCACCGCTTGCCAGCTCCAGAGAGCGCCAAGTTTTGTAACTTCCCACGTACGTCACTCTGCTGCAAATTAACCTCCCTTTCCCCCTTTTCCAACCATCTCGCGGGCGCTGCCATTTTCACCAATGTTTCTTCGGCGATCGATCGGGATGTCAGGACATTCCGCGGCTGTACATTCTTCACCACTGATTCTTTGGGGATAGCTGGCGCTCTACAGTTCGCTATGTTTCGGTTTAACCTTTCTGAAGCGAACCACTGAGGCAACCGGATTTATGGGTCCCCCTTGGCCCCTTCACAAGTTAAACTCAAATCATCATATCACCACGTGCGGACCCGGTGTATCGCATCCTACTTACCACTTTAGAACACCTTTTTGTTTCCATGTTGGAAACTAGAGAATAATTGATTGTGCTAGGCTGGAATGGACAGCGTAGATTAAATTCTCATGACATTGAGCAGCTATGAATCTTCTTTGAGCATTTTTTTTACCATAACTGATAGATTACTATCCTTCTGAGTATTATTTTTTATTGTTTTGTCATAGATCTTTCTGAGTATTTGGTATTGTTAGAATTTAAACTTATATAGCCATATTTTATACTTTCAATTGAAAAGGGAATTCTCTTGCATTCAATCACCTCAGCCGATTTCCATAGTTAGACCACTTGCCAAGATGTTATTTACATAGCTACCATACAAAATACACATTTTATGAGTCTCCAAATAAATAAATATATATTCAATCATACACCAAGCAAAAGCTGGTGTATATAGTACACAGACCATCTCAACAGTTAGTATAATATTATAATTGTGGGTTTTGTTTTTTTAAGATTATAAAATAAATTATCGCATTTATGTTGATCATTGAAATGGACGCAAACGATAGAGATTTCTTGGTGTACGTCATACAACAACTCTTGCCTGGTGTACGATAGACGTCACTATGGTAGAGACAGGAGTAGTATATACTCCATGTGATCTGGTCATTAGATGTACTTAAAAGAGCTCCGATCAATCTCAACGGTTAATTAGTGTTTTCTATAAATTTAACTTCGGATTTGGGTTTAGAGAATCGCGGCGTAGGGTTTATCCATTATAGGTTAGGGTATAGTATAATACTCTAAACTATATTTAATATATAGTATCTCATTAAGAATACATGGAGTACTATACTCCAGAAGTACACCAATCCGACCCATATTTTATATATATATATATATATGGAAAATGTTATCGTACACTTTACCCTGCGTTCACACATATTATTTGTACTTGGATAATTTCTACAAATAAGAATCCTTAGTTTTCATTTTAAGATGAAATTAACCTTATAGTTTGGTTAAGAGAATTGGAAACTAGAGTTCACCCATTAAAGATTAGGGTATAATATCATGCCTCAAATTCAAACTAATTCAATATCTAAATAACAAAATGAACGGGCATACGGTAAGGTAAGCATACGCCAGACGTAGGCTAGCCTAAACTATATATATGGTTCACGCTACGCCTGTTGTGTTGTGTTATTTAGACCATGATGGTTACTAGCATAAACTATATATTATACCCGAACCATGAGATTCTTTCAATTTTATAATAATAACCGACGTTTCTGATTCGTCAAAATATATCAAGTAAAAATAATAGGTGTGAGCGCATGTGTATAGCATACGCCAAGCATATGCTAGCCTTTGTGATATATATTGTAAAGACTGGTAAACTATAAGAGTATAGTATACTCTAGGTGAACAGGATGTTCGTACTTCGATGAGCTCCGACAAATCTCAATAGTCAACTATTGTTTTCTATTAAATTGAACTTCAGGTTTCGGTGTAGAGAATTGGGGTTTGTGGTTATCTATTAGAGGATAGAGCAAAGTATATAACTCAAACTCGATTTAATTCATAGTCTAGATAGAGATATCTCACTAAGAATATGTGGAGTATAGTATAATCCAGTAATACACCAGTCTGACCCATATATATATGTATATATAGAGAGAGAGAGCATCCACATTGGAATTGCATCATGAGTTCTTGAAATGAAATTCATTTGCAATTGCATCTTTGCAAGCTTGCATCTAACTCAATTATGAGTTGCAAGCCACACTATAATTAAATTATTTATTATTTGATTGTTTTATGTTTATAGAATTGTAGTAAGAAATCAATTGCAATTGCAAATGAAATGTATTGATGTAATGTAATTAAAATGAAGTTAAAATGATTTGGATTTTTTAAAAATTGTGAAATGACAATAAAAACAACATTTGCAATTACGTTGTCGCGGATGCTCTTATTGCTTCCCCGGCCAACGTGCCGGGCCCGGTGCTAGTGTAGATAGATAGATATAAACATGTTAGAAGTTGCTAATGAAAAAAATATCCATAATCGTGGATATACATCCGAATCCGACCTAATCGGGTAGGGTAAAACTCGAACCCGAAGGAATTTAAGTGGGTACGAATAAAACCCGAACCCGAATATTACGGGTAATGGGTGGCATGGTTCTCTCACTATCCAACTCGAACCCGCCCGATTATACACATGCATATGTATTTTTTCTAAAAATAATCAATATTTTTCTCTAACATATTTTATATCTAGCATATAATATAATATTTTATGATATTATGTTGTTTTAATTAATTTTCTTCATTATAGTGAATTATTGTCATACTTTTCGTCTTACTTAACGTGAGAATACATGTGAATATTAACATATTGGTTAGAGTTATAAGGAGAAACTATTACCCATGGATAACCGTGGATACCCGAAATCCGAACGGGTATGGATATGGTTTGAATTTTCTACCCGTTTCTTATGTGGGTATAGGTATGGGTAAAACCCGAACTACTTTTGGTAGGGTAACGGATATGCACTATCCGTCTCCGACCCGACCCATTCCCATCCCTAGCTCCTAGTCCTAGATATGCGAACGAGTGCTAGTCTAATTAGTGAATCACCTCATTTAGGGGTGTACATGGCTAGTGGTCCGGGTTTAGCCATTTTAATCACTTGATCCATACATTACGGTTTAGGAAATATTAAACACAAACCCATCAAATAAAAATTTAACCTTACGGTTTGTTTCTTATTGGATTGGGTCAGGTTGGCATTATTTTAAGTAAAAATCCAACCCAACACAAAATATGTAATTATTCTAAACCATAAAAATATTTTATAACTAATAAAAATTTAAAACGTATAAACCGAGGTGAAAGGTATCAAAATTCACAAATTTTGTTTGAATTTTAATAAAATATGATTTAATTCAACATATGTCTAATTTTTTCACGACCTTTGTCGAAATAGGCTAAAAAGGATATAAACAAACGCATCCATAATATGTTATTCTATTAAAATTGTACACAAGAAAAAAAATTACGTGAATCATAGCTATATTAAATTTATGTCTAAACTTTAAGTCCAAGAATGCATTAGATTAGGGAGACCATGAGAGAAAAACATGGTGAAATATCTTAATTTTCTCACAAGTATGGCTATATACGACATAAATATTTTTTGGATACGAACTCATACCAATAGTTGGAACACGGGTTGGGTCGCGTTCTACACGTTGTGTAATCCAAAATCCAAACCCAACACAGAAGAGACGGGTTGTACAAAAGAAAACTCTCACCGAACCCAAAACCTTCATTTTAACGATAAATACGAGTGAGTTGGGTCAGGTTGGACGGGTGGGTCGGTTTGTGGGTGTGTTTGTTCACCCCTAGTCGCATTTGCTATTGTAATTTGTAAGGT